CCCACGGTGAACCATACTTGTGGACAGCCCTCCTACACTCATTTGGGCTTGCCCTCATGACTTGCTTTGGCCAGTGGGATACTAGCAAGGGTGATTCAAACAGACACCAAATAAATGTTTGTACGATAGGACTTATCACTTAGAGCACAGCCTCCATGTTAGAAGGAAGTCCAGCTATCATGCTTGGCCATGTGGGGAACCCTGAATAATGAGTCATCACACAAAGGTAAGTCACCCAGAGAAGAAATTCCAGGGAATTTCTGATCCATTGCAACCAAAGGAGGGACTGAGCTGACACCATGTGGAATAGAAGACCACAAGCATAGAATTGCAAGGAATAACAAATCGTTGTTGTTGTTTTTTTAAGTTTATTGAGAGAGAGAGAGAGAGAGAGAAAGGGAGGGGCAGAGAGAGAGAGAATCCTGAGCAGGCTCTGCTTTGTCAGCGCAGAGCCTGATGTGGGGCTCCAACCCATGAACCGTGAGATCATGACCCGAGCCAAAATCAAGTCGGATGCTTAACCTAATCAGCCACCCAGGCATCCCTAAATCAACGTTGCTTTAAGCCACTAGATTTTGGAGTGGTTAGTTAGTTGCACATCGGTAGGTAACAAAAATATACAAACATCATCCACAGTCACAGCCCTCCCTTGTGATCTCGGGTCCACACATCTCTGGCTACCACCTCCTGTCCTGCTAGCCCACTCTCTCTAGTGCTACAATTCCTGCAATCCTTTGGACCCCACGGGAACTCCAACCCACTGGCCCCGCCCCCTCTGGTATCCTTTCCTTTCCTCATTCAGCTCTGATGCCATGGGTTAGCATCCGGTCACTCTTTCAGAACCCCACCCCTGCCCCCACCCAGCACAACCAGAGTCTTGGCTAAATCCTGCCCTTCTCTTTCTCTGCACCAGCTGAAATAGGCTGAGAAAAACACAGTCACACTGTGTGGCCCCCTACTGCATTTTCCTATTTTTCTAGCCAGTTACATTATTCCTGGACCTCTCTCCCCGGACTCCCAACATTTGTTCCCCTTTCCTCATTTTGAACTGATGACTTTGTTTTCTACTTATTTGAGAAAGTAGAAAATTCTCATCAGCAGAGAACTCCCTTAAACTCCTGCCTCCACACCCACTTGCCTTTCAGAACCTTTACATCAGACTCTCCCTACTGAGCTGAGCTGCCACACCTAATCTCCCAACCCTCCTCTTGCCAGTGATTCTCCTCTATGGGATCATTCCTGTTGGTGAGCAAACACCTATATCCCCTACCAGAGTAAAACCATCTCTCGACTTCCGTTCTCTTTCCAGTTTTGGCCCCATTTCTCTGCTCCTGTTTTTAGCAAAAATACCTCAGAAGAGGTATGTCTTGGGCACCTGGGTGGCTCAGTCAGTTAAGCGTCTGACTTCAACTCAGGTCATGAGAATGTGGGGTTGCTACTGCAGCATAACCAGGGCTCCCCTGACTGCTACAGACCACTGGATCCATGTATCTAAACACTCTATCTCTTGTATTCACTTGCTACTTGTATTCACTTGCTAAAAAGCCTTCCTGTTTCTAATCCGCCCCCCACGCCCAATCGACAGCTTGATTCATTGGAAAGCTATTCCTCTATTCAAATCCTCCAATGGACTCACTTTCCTAATTTTTTAAAAAATGTTTTATTTATTTTCAAGACAGAGAGGGACAGAGCATGAGCAGGGGAGGGGCAGAGAGA